TCCCCACCTCAGAAATCTTCAGGAGGTGGTTCCCACCTGCAGCATAAAGTCCACATTTGGCGGCCTGGGATGCAAGGGGCTTCTGAGAGGCATCTGGGCCCCCGCCGTGCTCAGTCTGTTGGTTTGCTAGGCCGCCCTCCCAAAACACCACGGGGCAGCAGGCTTAGACAATGGTGGAGGCTGGAAGTCCAAGATCAGAGTGCCGGCAGGTTTAGTTTCTCCTGAAACCTCTCTCCTGGGCCACCTTCTCACTGTGTCCTCACACGTCTTTCTTCTGTGGGCACACGCCCCCAGGGTCTCTCTGTGTGACCAGACTTCTTTTTCTTAAACAAAAGTCCAGTCAAACTGGATCAGGGCTGTCATGAAGCCTTATTTTAACTTCATCACCTCTATAAAGGCCCTATCTTGAAATACTGAGATATTTGCTGAGGTGCAGGAGTGGAGGCTCCGACATGTCAGTCTGAGGATGAGCCGGGGTGGGGTTGGGGATACAGTTCAGCCCGTAACAGTTAGAAATATAATTTTGGCATCAAACAAAATCAGGCTCACTATTAAGCGCTATGCCAGCAAGAGGATTCATTGCTGGTGTGAGCCTCAGTTTCCACATCTGGAAAACAGCGGTAAGACTACCGCCCTCACCAGGTCACTGGGGACAATACAAGCTCTGACTTATGTGAAGCACTTGGCAGCACTCAGCACGCAGTAGGCACTCAGCCCATCAGAGTCACCAGTCACAACTTCCTCACCCTTTACCTGCCCTTGTTTCCAGCACCAACCGCCATTACTGCAGGTGAACGCACTTGGCCTTGCCCCGCCAGGCCTTGTTTCATACACCAGCCCCCTCGTATTCAAATCCCAGTCCTGTTTCCTGGCTCCCTTAAATGCCCCTTCTCTCTATAGTCAGACGTCAGCCACCAGCTCCGACTCACCAAGCTTTGTTGGCATTATTATCTAGTCTACAGCAACAAACCATCCAATTACCACCTAGGAATTAAAATCCCAAGTTGTGAATTTGTCTGCTAACGTTTCCTGCCCATAGGTTGACCCTCCCAAAGAGGGTGTAGGCATTGTAGATCAAAGCCCACCATCATACTTTTTTGTTGTTTCCACAGTACCTGTCAAAATGTCTCAAATATAACAGGCCATAATTAATCAATCAGAAGGGTTTGTAAATATAAAAATATTGGTATATGGTCAATATTCACTGATTAAACATACGTGCCTGTGTGTGTATATGTGTGTGTGTGTGTGCACACGCGCGCATGTGTGTGTTTGGTTGTAGCATAAAGAAATGTGAAAGAGAAACACCAAATTGATGTTTCTCTGGAGAAGGAGGCAGCCATCTAGGGCGGTTTCGATGGTGTTGGCAAACTTGTGTTGTGTTTTTTTAAGCTGAGTGACAGTTTCACGATTATTTGTTATACTGTTCTCACACCTTCTTGTTTCCTTAAATGTTGCAAATTAATATTTATTACTTGACTCATATCTGCTGTTTGTACATGGACTGATTAACACACACAACGAATATATGAGGAACTCTTCTGACATGATAGGAAATTACTTAAAATAATTGTCTGAGAAGAGCTTTGGTGAGGATTTCAGAGTATAACTCAACAAACTCTTTTAATTAATATTTTATCTGGCTGAAAATATTTATGAGACATTACTAGCCTCATAAATGCAAATGGAATTTCTATAAATAGGAGAACGGTAATTTCCTGTGTGTTGTATTCTACAGAGAAAACCCAGTTGTGAATCATCGGCCGCCTGAGGAAGGGAGGTAAGAGACGCAGGTGACGGCGGACAGAGGCAGCGTTCTGCGCGTTAATGAACGCAGGACACACGAGTCCTCCTTCGCAAAACCTCACCCATTTTCCAACCAGCACTGCCTCACCCATTTCCAGACAATGAAGGCAGCATAGCATCTTCTAAGCCCTGAGGAGTTCGACTGTGTCCCCTACCCTCAAACGTCACCTGTGTTCTTTGCGAAACTTGAGCATAAAAAAGAAAAAAAAAATAGGCTCACCTAAATTTGCAAAAACCAGGCAGGACCGGGAGCCCCATATTTCCTACTTTGCAGGCCTGAGCCAAGAACTGGACCCAGGTGTTCTGTCTCCTGGTCCAAGGTCCCATCACTGAGAGAATATTTACAAAATGACATTTACCAGATCACCCTATGCTTTGCTTCAGTCAACCCCCCATCAGGGCAGAGGAAACTCCATGGTCTTTACGCTAAGTCCCAAGTCACGGTCACCCCAGGCACGGAGACAGCGTGTGTCTCTCTGACCACAGAGCTGCACAGCCACAGCCTCTCCCAAGAACTCAGAAATGAAGACCCTTCTTCTCAGAGTGTTAAACCAGAGGATCAACATGTAATGGATGAGCAAGAAGACAGGCTAAATCCCCTAAGGGGGCTAATAGATTTCCTGGTCAGTCAGTGCCAATTGCAGCCACAGCGACTAATCGAAGGCTTTACAGAGGGAGGGGATGGGGGGGCGCAAGGCCAGCCCTGCAGGGCCTCGCTGCCTCTGTCCCTGGGGAGCGTGCCTGGGCCGGGGCTGTGTGCCCGCTGATGTCGGGCGTACGACGCGGCCAACCCAAGAGAATTTATCTGGAGTTTATTTGAGCCAAACGGACAAAAATTGTCGCAAAACCAAATCTCAATGGATTGAAAAAATGCTCCAGAGAATGGCAGTTTTACTGTTTACTTTATACATTAGAATCAAAGGAGGAAGATAAATGTAAGGAAGGTTACGTGGAATCCATTGATGGTAGATTAAGGGGGCAAAGAAAGCAAAACAGGGAAATCATCTGAGACTGGATAGAGGCAAACCTGAGAGACTCCTTCTTTTACATCGGTGGGTACAGGAGAGTTCAGAATTAACACTTACGGCCACCGAGAGGGCACGGGGCAGGGCGGGGGAGACAAGGTAGCAATGAGGGGCTCTGTGGTCTTGTGCCCTGAGGGGTCTGGAAAAGGAGGGTTACTCTGACATTTCAAAGGTCTGTTATCTTAAATGCACAAGGACATTAGACCGACTCAGTTAAGGTCAAGACTGACCTCTGTCCAGGAAGCTACAGGGCCTAGGACTGGCCTGCCTGCCCTAATCTGCTGTAAATTAGGAATTTTGACGTTCAGACCACCCTGTGTGGTTCCTTTCGGTCTCTGGGTTTGTAAACCCGCGCGGCCGCCTCCCCCGAGCCTGTCAGGGTTGCTGTGTGGCCGCGGGTCCGCCCGCGCTGCTCCCTGCGCCCCAGGAGCCCCCTGGTCGCCATCTCGCTCCTCAGAGCCGCCCGGTGCTCCGCCTACAGAAGAGGCCAGCCGCGTGCACCGCAGGCAGGCCCGGGCAGGCGTTTATCCCCTTGTAATTGAATAAAGCTTTTTTCCTGTTGTTGACAGTGTTCACCTGATAAATATTCATTAAGCACCTGTGCTGGATGCTGGGGACACAGCAGAGAACATGACAGTCATAGCCCCTGCTTGGTGGACACTGGTCTCACGGGCTTGATCAGGTGTCTGCCCCCCTACCCCCACGCCTAGGGAGACACACTCAGGGCCTAGGGCAGGGATGCTGAACCCCAAAGGCTGGGCAACAGACAAGGAGGTCCTAGGGAACCACCCCCTCCCCCGCCCCAGCGAGGAAGGGCCACCCTGACTGCACCAGACCTCAGAGAAGCCCGGCGGCCCCCCACCCCCTCAGACGCAGCCTTCCCTTTGCAGGAGCTGTGACGTCAGCAGCTGCCTTTTCCTACAAGTCACTGGAATTAAAGATTAAATGCGTGCCGTCATCCTTCCTCCAAGCAGGCAGGCAGGCAGGCAGGCAGGCAGGCAGGCGTCCAAAAGGGAGGGGAGTGGCTCTCCCCAGCCCGGCGCGCACTCTGCTCTGGCTCTGCCTCCGGGCTGCGCAGAGACGGGAGTGGAGGGAGCATTTCCCGCTATTCCAACCCCTTCACAGGCCGCACGCCTCTGGAGAAGAGGCTAGGAGGGAGCCGAGAGCCCGAGAGCCCGAGCCCCCGGGGGCAGCGGCGAACCTGCCTGCTTGCTATCTTTGGGCCGGCTCCACCTCCAGCCAGCGGGTCGGGGCGTCCCAGACCCTCGCTCCACCTAGAGAGCCACAGGGGTGGGGACGCGGCGTCCAGACCGCGGCTCCCCCAACTTCCCCAGGGCAAGTCTCCCTCCTGCTCAGTGCCAGCTGAAGAAACGCAACTAAATTTTGCCAGCCTCCCTCTCTGCGCACGGCGGAGTGACTGAGCAGCCCCTCCAGGACCCCATTCAAGATTTCTGCCCTCCCGGTGGCTCCCCTCTTTCGGTCGGCTCCGCCGCACCCCCTAACCACGCGCGCGCTCACACCAGCAGCCGGGGTCTCACACTCCTGCACACACACACGTTCACACCTGCACTTGCGGGCGCGCACACACATGCACACACGCTCACACCTGCACCCGCGTGCGGAGAGACCTCCGCCCTCCGCCCTCGCAGCACGACCGGAGGCACACCCAGCGCGGCCGCCCGGAGGCGCGGGGGGTGGCCCGAGCCTGGGGGAGGGGACGCAGATCCGCCCGCCCGCCCTCCGCTCCGGGTCCCTCTGCACCTCCCTGGCTCCGAGTCATTCAGAATTGACGGTATCCCCTGATCACGTGGGAACCCCTCCCCATTCTCCACCCCCGCCGCCTTTGCCTGGGGCCCTTTAAATCGGTTATTACACCTTATTAGTCGGAGATCCGTTTGTACTGGGGGCAGAAGGGGAGGAGAACTGGGGAGAGAAGAGGGCGGAGGGGAGGAGGGAGGGAGGGTGGGAACGGGGGGAAGAGAGAGAGGGGGAGAGAGAAAGAGAGAGCCTCCCGCTGCTCCCGCTGGAGGAGGGAGTGACTGAGGGACTGGCGACGAAGGGGCAGGATGGCTTAGAAGCCTCTGCCAACAGGACCCAAGACAGGGAGAGGCTCTAGGCAGGGTCTGAGGCTGTGGTAATGGCTGAGGCTGCAGAGTCCCCTCAAAGGCCCTGAGCGCCCGGGCCCCGCCTCTAAGGGACACCCCAGAAGTTAGCATCAGTGGCACTTGGAAGCTACGGTCGCAACAAGTAAGTTGTTTTCTTTTCCTCCTCCATTCCCTACCCCAGCTCAGCAGATCTGGGAGGCAGGGCGGCACTATCACGGTGCCCAGTGTCCCTAGCAACTGGCTTTTACCAGCCAGCAGCCTCTTTGGGAGCCGGGGGTGGGGGGGACAGGGAAGGGTTTAGGGTGGGTCCAAAGTTCAACCAGGAAGTCTGAGCTCTCGGAAGCCGGCGGCTGGGCAGCCTTGGGCTGGGGAATTGGGCGTTCATTGGAGTGTAAGGCTGCACCAGAGCAGGGATACCTGCCCCCTCCGCACCCCCTCAGCGGTGTGGGAGGCCAGGGCAGGGGGAGAGGGGCGCATTTCCTGCGAATGGGCTTTGGCTTCAGGTTGGGTTGTAGGGGCAGGGTGGGGCGGGGCGCTCCATCAACCTTAGACCCTCCGCTTAATCTTGCTTGCTTTTAAGTCTGGCCAAATGGATTGCATGGCCTTGCTCTCTCGGCCCTCTTGCTTCCTGCATGCCTCCCTATCTCTTTTTAAACATCTTTCAAATTGATCAGAAAGGCCAGGGATCCAGCTCCAAGGGCAGGGAGAGAGATTAGGGAAGGGCATGGTCATGATTCCCGTTTCCCCAAACCCACGGAGCCCCCTGGAGGGTTGCCTGTGGCCCCCCTCAAACATGCCTCTCCTCGCTCACCTTCTGTAGCGCAGGCTCCCAGACCACACCTGACCCTCACAGGTCCAGGGCCTATCCCACACTTCGGGCCAGGGCTCAGGTAGGACCAGGTTAGCAACACCAGAGGACCGTCGGGTACCTGAAGGTTAGATTTGTGTCCGACGGTACCAAGGACTTTGCTCTCTTTCACTCCTTTTAATGGAACAGATATTATTGCCCTCCATCTGCAGGACAGAAATCGCGGCATAGCGAGGCCGTGTAACTGTTGGATGTGCACTTACAAGTGAGATTCCCACCTGGGTCTGACTCCAAAACAGGCTGTTTTTTCATCACTGAGCTAAGCATCCTAGGGCTTTCTGGTTCATAAAGCAGTTCGCGTGTGGGAGAGAGGCAGCGGGAGAAGCGAATGTTTATGGCACCAAGTAGTGAGCTGGACTCACGGGTGTGACTTAATCTGGACACCAGTTTGGAGGCAGGGTCAGTCAATTCACTGGCTTCCTGGCTGACACTGAGGCTTAAAGCGTTCTGAGGACTAATAAGTGGCAGAGCTATTACCTTCTAAACCCTTGTCCTCTGACTTCAAATCCAGAGTCTTCCCACTACCAAGCACTAACCCCGGAAGGTGTTCCAGCCTTCCCAAAGCCGTGCCTATTCCTCAAACCCAAGTGCCATCCCGCCAGCTGCCTGAGCGAGGTCAGCTTCGCAGCGCCGCGCCGGGAGGGAGAGCCCAGCACAGGCGGTGCTGTGCGGTCAGAGAGGAGAGGCCCCTGGTTGGGCTCCGACACAGACGGCTTGGCCGGCTCCCCGGGGACCCCAAACTGTGCATCTCCTTGACCTGATCAGAGATGGCGTCACTCTGCTCAGAGGCGGCAGGCCATGCCTTCAGTGGGGGTACAAGGGTGCACAGGGTGTGTGCTTCTTGGCAATGATGTCAAAGAATCGTTACTTATTGAGTGCCTACTATGTGACCTTAAGCGTTTTCTATACATGATGTGATTGTTCTCCTCTCCCATCCACTGCTTTTCCCGTTCCTCCTCCCTCTGCCTCACTTCATCCCAGCCCCCTAGAGTATCCCGTACCCAAATACTCGGCAGCTAAGTTCACACGGTAGAGACTTGTAATCTAAGGCTAGAAAAAAACAAGCACTCTTTTCCCTTGCAAGGAATTGGGTGTGGGGGGGGGCATTTATCAAGTGTTTATTACTAGTCAGGCTCTGTTTATTATGAGATTGATAATAATGATTACAGTGGCATAAATTATTAGAGCAGCAACAGGGCCACCTCTGGAAGAGAAATGATCACATGGAGAACTTTCCTGCACATTCCACGAAAGCACAGAGCTGCCTGTTCTCCCCACACCACGTTCCAGGTTCACCCTCTAGCTCTGTGACAGAAAAGGGACCACTGAGACCCAGATGCCCCTGTGCCCTCCAAAAGCCACTGTCCACTGCTGGCACTCCTCACAGGTGGTGTCTCTTCATTAAGTAGCCCACCTGCATTAAACAGGGAATGGGTGAGCTATCTGGCAGCAGCTGGGGGGAGGGGCGGTGGGAAGCTCGCTGCCTCCTCTGACAGGTCCCCGTGGGATCCCCAACATGCGTGCCCCTGAGACTGAGGCACGTCCTCTGTGGGTCTGGCAGAAACGTCAGTGTGACTCCCCCACATTCCCGCAGCCTCGCTGCCCCCCGGCAGACTGTGCAGCGTGGTTGCTGCAGGGCTTTCTGCAAGCGCCTGCCCGGTTTCTTGTCCGGAACGGCCCCAGTCACCTGTGATGAAGTTAACCCCACAGCACACAGTAGAACTGGAGCGAACGAGAGGGCTCATTCTGCGCTTTCCATTTGCTCGAAAAATGGCCTGGTTCTTCTGTGGTCAGTCACAAAGGGCATACTGAGCGTTCATGAACTCAAAAACCATGTCTACTTCTAGTTTTTGTTTTTAAATCAGTTCAGCAACGCTTTATTAGATCACCTATAATGTGCCAGGAATAATTAATTTTTGAAAACCTTGGAATCTGGTCATTTGAGCAGGGCTCTGCCTTCCACTTAGTAGAATGCTCTCAAAAGCTTGCATTTTCTGAGCAATGCATATATAGGGTGGGGGTGGGGAGAGGACCTTGGAGAGGGAGGCAGAGTCCGAGAATCCACTTTGGAATTGGAAGGAGCCCTTCCCACCACGTCTGAGCCACATGCAGGCCACTGATGGCCGCCAGTGTTTTTAAGAGAGGGTTTCGCCATATGTCTATGGAGACAGTGGTCAGCCATGGAGGAATTTTTCTGTTTTTCCTGCAGACAAGATAAGAAGAATGTGAGTTTAGATGCAAAGAATTATAGGGAGACATTTGCGGCGGGGGACACCTAAATGTAGTATTCTAAGATACTATGGAGTGGCCGTCTCTGGCATGATTTTAACACAGAGGGGACAGCTTCCTCTTCCCGAGCCCCTGGCCGCGAGGGACGGCCTAGGGGCCCTGCCAGTGCGGCATAACTTATCTAGTCCCTCCTACCTGACATTCTGATAAGTGAGCTATTCTGGTCACCGGAGCACAGGCTGGCAGCAGCCCTTGCCAACAGCCGCGTTAAGTTAAATGTCAGGGCCAAATCTTTAACACATGACCCTGGAGATCTTGGCTGGTGTGCAAATGTTAAGTTCCATTTTCATTCCAAACCAGAGTGGGCTGAGGGGCAAAGGTCAAGAATAATCTGACCAGTCTGGCAGGTGGCAACAGCACTTCCTAGTCACCAAGGGTCAACCCACATGGTGGCCAGAGGCGGGGCTGGGGACGAAAAGGGACAGGGAGGGGGAGGGCAGGAGCAATCAGGACAAGCCTTCAGTCTCTCACTCTCGTCCCCTGTGACTTGGTTGTTTGCAGCTGCTGTGCTGCCCACCCTGATGGCCTCTCAGGCTCCTTACCCTAAAATCAGGTCGGGGCTGTCCTGGCCGGTGTGGCTCAGTCGGTTGGCGCATCATCCCATAAACCGAAAAGTGGCAGGTTCGGTCCCTGCCAGGGTACATGCCTAGGTCTTGGGTTTGGTCAGGGTGCGTACAAGAGGCAACCAACTGAATTTTTTTCCCTCTCTCTCACATCCATGTTTCTCTCCCTCTCCCCCCCTTCTCCTGTCTCTAAAGTCAATGTCCTTGGGTGAGGATTAAAAAAAAAATCAGGTAGGCCCTGATGCCATCATCTTACATTATTTCTTGCTGTTCAAAAAGGAGAGGGAGGGGAAGAGCTAGGGTGGAGAAGTGCCATCTGGGGACAAACCTCTGTCCTGTGCCTTGTCCTCAGAGCCTCCTCCCCTCCCAAGATTGTGCTATTGGGCCCCTGATGCTTCTAGGCTGCCCAGGAGGGGTCCGGACAGCATCGGAGACCCAGAGCTGCCTCTGCTCCAGGGAGCTCGCCAACCAGCAGGGGCAAGAGGCCCCACGGCTCCCTGGCTTGCAGGGACCCTTACAAACCAAGAGGATGACAGCCGGCTGACCTGGGCTATGACAGAACGACCCTCCTGGACGTCAGCATAGGCAGGCCGCCGCGTCCCAGTCAGGTTGCCTCAGTCACTTTCAAAGTGCCCTTCATATTGGATGAACTTAAAATCACTCATCTATCCCTTCAGAAGTGTGAGTGGGCCCTGGGCCCACCCTCCGATCCTGTCTTGGAGAGCCCTCCACCCTGAGGGGGCAGCAGGTGTGCCCGTACAGCACCGGGGAAGGTCCCGGTAGAGAGGTGCAGGGAGGGCCGGAGGAGGGCCAGGAAGAACCCAGGAGGGCTTTCCAAGGGGGCTGGGAACCCCGGAAGGTTTGTGGGGGTGGTGGAAGGGCGTGGGGAGCCTGAGAGAGGGGCCGGGAGAGGCCGGCTCCGTGCTCCTGAGCAGGCCCTGGGCCGACTCTCCTTCCTGGGCTTGCATTTCCCAGTTCCTTGAGCCCCCGCATTCAGTCACATTTTTTCCCCTCCTTTTTCATCTCAGTGTGCTCCCCCCCCCCATTTTTTACTTCATTTGTGTCTCCTTCTCTCACTCATTCTCTCCACCACAAATGTCCTGTAGTGATTCTTTAGTTCAATTCCTCTTCTACTGCCTTCATTCTTTCTTTTTTTTTATTAAACTTCTTCTTTTGAGATAATTATAGGTTTGTATGTAGTATAAGAAATAACGTGGAGGTCTCCTATATTACCTACCCAGTTTCTCTCAGTGGAACATCTTGCAAAGCTATAGTTTTTATATCAAAATCCTCAAAAAGTTGGCATAAAACATTTCTCACAGCAAAAGAAAACAATCAACAAAATGAAAAGACAACGTAAAGAATGGGGCAAATATCTGCCAATGTCGCATCTGTGAAGGGGTTAGTATCCAGAAATACATA